GGTGCCCGGAAGGGCTTCAGGCCCCCCCCCCCCCGCTACGTTGCCCAAGGCAGTCGCTTGGGGTGGCTTGGCCTGCAAAACAGTCCGGGGCGGATCTTGACAAGAGCTGACAGGTCACGCCCCACAGGATGTTCCTTGAGATTCTCACGAGCTCTGTGCCCTGGGTTTCAAGGACAGGATGTTCTTCCACTCAGCACAACAAGGAGGTTTCTCAAACGCAACAATCATCATCAAAGCATCTTATTGCAAAAGCAAAGTCAGATCCTATGACCTGAGCACGTTCCCTCTTCATCCCCGTGAGGAGCCCAGAATTCGCCACCAAAGCCTATGCCCTGGAGCGATCTCAAGTTTGGGAGAGGAGAGGGCTAGAAAGCGTAACCATTTCTCTGCGCTCCCCCCCCCCGGGACTACAATTCCCAAGATTCTCTACAAAGAGGAAGTGACGGCTAAACCGTCTGTAGCAGTGCAAACATGCTTTTTGGGATGCTGTTCGCATCATACGCAACTGCAGGGCCTGGTATGGCCACCCTCTCCTCTGCCAGCCAAGCTCGGAGCTGGCCTTGTGAAACCCGCGTTCAAATGCCTTCTTAGCTCTTAATCGTTCGTGCCTAAACCTGTCTCTACAGGGTTGCTGAAAGGGTGTTGCTCTGAGCATGATGGAAGGAGGAAAGAGGAGAATAACAGTTCACAAATCTCCGCCCCCTTCTTCTCAAGGACCCCCCCCCCAATGATTACCCTAGAGGTATCTCTGGCAATGCCTGACTTGCCCCCTCCCTCTCCCCCCCTAGGGCTTTGTTTGAATCAGAGCTCTTGTTCTCAGTGCTAGGGCTCAGGAGACATGAACACAAAAGGGCTTCTGAACGTGTCAAGAGTGCTTTCACTGTCGAGCCATGCTCTGAGCTTAAGATTTCTGAGTAAACTGGGGCCTGAATCCGACACGCAGCGCCTCCCCGCACCTTCCACTCCTCCCATTACCAAATCTGTGCTGTCTGTTATATAGTGGCCAGATAAGCCTGGAACACCAGTGTCCCAAGACGCTCATCACCAACGCTCCCTCTCAGCCGTGGAGTCCTGGGAGCAAAAATTCTGCCTTGTGAGCTCCTGGCAGTAAAGTTGTAAGCGAGCCATTTGGCTGCTGCGTAAATTAGTTTGCTCTGGAGCCCTCCTTCCTGAGCTAAGGCAAAAATGTGTGCACCGGGGGCTAAACAACTGTGAGCCGGCTCACACTAACTCAGCTTAGAGGGAACACTGGATGCCACTGCAAGCAATGCTCCCTCTAAGCTGTGGAGTCTTGTGAGCAAAAAGTCTACTTTGTGAGCTACTGGCATTAAAGTTGTGAGCGAGCGATTTGGCTACTGCATAATTTAGTTTGCTCCGGAGCCCTCCTTCCTGAGCTAAGACAAAAATGTGTGCACTAGAGGCCAGAAAACTGAACTGAGCTCACACTAACTCAGCTTAGAGAGAACACTGCTCACCACCCGACAACAGGCAAGACCAGGACGGGTACAAGACACAGCAACCAGACACCTGCAAAAGACCCAGCTGGCAGCGACCCAGGGCAGAGCAGGAGCCTGGCACAGCCTTACCTGGGACAGAGAGACGGTCCTGGTATTTGGGGGTGTTTGGGTCCACCGTCTGTAGCAACACCCACATGGTGAGTGTGAAGAGGGCGGTGAGGAAACCGTAGAACACCAGGTAGAAGAGCAGGATCAGAGCTGGGGAAGGAGAGAGAAGGAACACAGTCGGAGGGGGAACGAATGGAGTCCAGACAGGGCATCCCTAGACCAACCCCACAAACGCAGCCGTCTCGCACTCACTCAAATTCACCCCATCGTGCCCAACTTTCAGTACCCGCCCAAGAGCACAAGACAATCCTCAGAAACTGTGCAACCCCCCCACTCCACCCCAAGAATTTCTGCTGAAATGTAACACAAGGACATAAGAGAAGCCAATGTTGGATCAGGCCAATGGCCCGTCCAGTCCCACACTCTGTCACATAGTGGCCAAGAATACCAGGTGCCATCAGGAGGTCCACCAGTGGGGCCAGGACACCAGAAGCCCTTCCACGGTTGCCCCCCCCCCAGCACCAAGAATACAGAGCATCACCTGCCCCAGACAGAGAGTTCCTACCTCTACCTTGTGGCAAAGAGCCACTGATGGACCTCTGCTCCATGTGCTTATCCAATTCCCTCTTGAAGCTGTAGTGTCCTGGTCCTGAAAATGTTTTCCGTGGTCCCCACAGTCACACACACATAGTCTTTGCACCAATGTTTTCTCTGCCACGTACACAAACGCCTCTTTGCCCTTAGTACCAGCCTCATTATCGAGAAGGGCTCGGTGCCAATTTAATTAGATGATTGGGGGGGGGAGAAACCTGAGAGGGCCCTCCAGCCTCCTTGCAGTCGCTAGATATCACAAGTGGTTCAACGGCAGGGCAAGCTGAAGGCTCCGTGGCAGGGGATACCTCCGGCAAAGAGTCCCACGCTGGCCCCTTAACCGATTCCCTTCCAGACCCTGCAAACGTACCAACTGCAAGCCCCCTTTATTTAGGGATATGATGAATAGGAAGGGGGGGGGGTTAACAGGAATCCCAGGTTCCTTGGGAGGGGGCACAGCCACCAACATCTGGAATTGTCTGCCAGCAGTGCACAGAAGAGCTTGGGGCTCTTTAGCTTGGAGAAACGACGGCTGAGGGGTGACATGATCGAGGTTTACAAGATTATGCATGGGACAGAGCAGGTAGAGAAAGAGGTACTCTTCTCCCTTTCTCACAATACAAGAACTCGTGGGCACTCCATGAAATTGTTGAGCAGCCGGGTTAGAACAGATCAAAGGAAGTCCTTCTTCACCCAAAGAGGGATTAACACATGGAACTCACTGCCACAGAAAGTGGTGGCAGCTACAAGCTTGGACGGCGTTAAGAGGGGATTGGATAAACATATGGAGCAGAGGTCCATCAGTGGCTATTAGCCACAAGGTATAGATAGGAACAGTCTGGGGCAAGGGATGCTCTGTATTCTTGGTGCTTGGGGGGGGCGGAAACAGTGGGGGGGCTTCTAGTGTCCCAGCCCCACTGGTGGGCCTCCTGACGGCACCTGGTATTTTTGGCCACTGTGTGTGTGACAGAGTGTGGGACTGGATGGGCCATTGGCGTGATCCGACATGGGCTGTTCTTATGTTCTTAAGTGGACACTGCTGGAAAACGGGGCTTCCCCCGAGGAGGTCATGCGTCCACTCCTGAGGAAGGGAGTTCAGTGTCCTGGATAAAGCAGAGCTCCATTTGAACTGGGACTCCGGTCCATTTTCAGCCACGAGACTCAAATATGGAATTTTATAGGCATGTGCAGAGTACCACTCGATCACGACAGACTCAAAACATGTCTTGGACTCTTGTTTTGCCAAGCGGCACGCCAGCGGCATCAATGAGGGCCAAACTGGGAATTACTTGACTGAATGCCAGAGTCAATGTTAGAACTCTATTCGACTGGAGAAAATGTTTAGAACGACCCCAGGATTCCCTGGGGTGTGTGTGTGTGTGTTAAAGTTTTAGCATGCTCCTGAAAGCCTCCAAGAGTCTAGGTGACTACTTGGCTTCGGTTCAATCGAAATGTTCAATTCGTGATGATCTATTAAGGAATGAAACCCAAGCACGGGAACTGAAGGAATGGGTGTTCGAAAAGGATGGGCTTATGGATCAGGATGTGTTGGCACATTGTCTTACGGCACCAGTTTTTTTTTTAAGAGCATCATTGCAGGTCCTTCTGTTTAGAGAAGTTAACCATCCTGGAATTAAGATCAGCTTTTACAGCTTTAAGACTTCAAATCCGTACCCTCAATGGTCAGGACTGGGCGTTCCTTTGGTATCCCCGCCCCCCTTAGACTTCGTCTTTGTGACACGGGGGAAGTAGACGATATAGTCCATTACATTTTGAGATGGCCATGGCATGAAGCTCCTAGGTTAAGGTAAGGTAAAGGTCTCCCTTGCTCGAAAGCCAGTCGAGTCCGACTCCAGGGTTGCGGTGCTCATCTCCGTTGCAAAGCCGAAGAGCCAGCGCTGTCCGAAGACGTTTCCGTGGTCATGTGGCCGGCATGACTAAACACCAAGGCGCACGGAACGCTGTTCCCTTCCCACCGAAGTGGTCCCTATTTATCTCCTTGCAATTTCTTGCTTTCGAACTGCTAGGTTGGCAGGAGCTGGAACTAGAGACGGGAGCTCACTCCGTCATGCGGCACACTCCGGTCTCCAATTGCTGAACTACCAGCCTTCCACAGCCTGCAGTTCAGCGTCTTAACCACTTGAGCCACCGCAGCTCCTAGGTTAAGGTACATCATACCTATTATTCCACCAAGTAATGGACTCCCCGATCTGGATTTGCTCAAATTTTTACTTTTGGACCTTGACCACTACGTTTCTAGTAGAATGGCGCTGTTTGCCTTCGCATCAATGAAAACCAGAATGCACCTAGTATTTAATGTAAAGTAGAATGAGTATAGGATTTAATGCACTCACTGATATTTTTAGTGCCTACGCTGTCATGTTATAGCCTGATGTGTTTCCCCCCCCACCATGGTGTGACTTGTTCTGGCCTGTGGCTAAGACAATAAAACTTATCTATCTACAGATGCTGGGATGAAGAAACACATCTCTCCCCACCTGGGGAAAGCACAACTCCACTTCCTCCAGCACAGCTCCCTTTCACAACATCATCACGCAACGGCCACTCCCTACGCATCCAGTCTGCCTTCCCCACTGGAATGCCGTCTCCACGTTGCTCCCAGTTTTGTAAGCGCAGAGCGGGCAGCTACATAACTCCCAACAGAATCATCACTCATCCCCAAGTACGCGCTGCCTCCAGCTTCCTCCTTCTCATCATGACATGCAAATAAAGCAATAGCAAATTAATAGTAAAAGTAGCCTCCTGTGCTAGGATTTCCCCCACCTAGGTGGGGAGGGGAAGGGGAAGGGGTTTGTAAGCTGCTCTGAGACTCCGAGTGAAGGGCGGGGTAGAAATCCAATCTCTTCTCTTCCTCGTCTTCTTCGAGAGCACTCAAACACCACCATCAACCCTTCGTTCCAAAAGGCAGCAACCAGTCTTCTTCTGCCACCAGGTGAACAGAACAAAGTTGAAGACCAACAAGTTTAACTCTGGGCGAAAGCTTTCGGGTTCTGTTCTGCCGCAAAAGCTCAGCAGGAGGCTTCAGGTCAGTCGCTTTCTCATCCAAGATGAACCCATAGGCTGTGATGGAGGAGCCAGAGTGTAATGTTAAAAGTGCTGAACTAGGAAGGAGAGACCCAGGTTTGAATCCTCACTCTGCCATGGAAGCTTGCTGGGTGACCTTGGGCCAGTCACGTACACATCAGTCTAGCCGACCTCACAAGGTTGTTGATAAAATGGAGGAGAGGAGAAGGATGAAAGCTGCTTCGGTCCTTATTGGGCAGAAAGGCAGTGTACAAACAAACGAAGAAAGAAAAGGACACAAAGAAACACTCCAAGGCAGACGTGGACTAGAGCTGTCAGCATCTAATGGGGCAGGCAGGGGTTAAGAAAAAGCCTTTCTTTAAGACAGGGGTTTCCTAGCCTCGCTGAGGGGGCGGCACTACAAAGGGGCTGCCCTGGGGAACAATCGTGAAATGTTTGCGGGTTCCAAGCCAAGAATCCTGCTATGCTGCAGCAGCTATTTACAAAGACTCAAAGGTCCCCTGGGTCTTCTAAAGGCCTCTCTTCCTGGACAAAAAACCAGGGCTGACTCTTTTGCTTTGGGGAAGCCAAAAATAGGTACCAGGAAACACTTCTGCAGGCATGGTGACACCCCCTGGCATCAAAGTCTCAAGGGATGTTGCATTACGAAGAAGAAAACCTTTATTCGGCATAACATAGATGAATCAAGCAAAGGAAAAAGTTAAAGGGTGGGTACAAGAAACACCATCAGCCAACATTCCCAATATCTCAAAATACAAGGCAATGGATGTTGCATTAAAAGAAACAGAACTTTGGACATCACTGTTGGTTCACGCTTTTCAGTTTCAAAGGGGACAACGTGGCCATTGTCCATTCCTCGCCTGTATCCAAAACATATAGCATGAAATCTTCCAAGTCTCCTTGAGGGCACACACAAACAAGGGAGACATTTCAGGGGGGGAATAAAGGCAAGGAGCCGGGTAAGAATCCAGCTTCCTCAGGCGGAGGCTCCGCAAATGGTTAAGCCATTAAAAGAATCCTTGCAAAATGAGGAAGGGGGCAAGGTCACCCCCCAGCCAGCCAATTAATCTATGATAAAAATCTGACAAAGGTGGAAGAGGAAAGAAATGCCAGCCAACAACCTGGTGGTTGCCACAAGTAAAGCAATCACCTGCCAAGATATTCTACAAGATGTCTTTTTTAAAAAAATAATAATAATAACCTCCCATCAATCTTCCTGAAGCCCATCACGATATTTGGGAGTTTTGAGCTTCTTTCCCCAAAAGATAATGGTGGTGGATCAGAGCTCTGTAAACGTCTACAGTTTTACTCCACATTTACACTCAGGCCTTGCAATGCTCTCTCTCAGCTGTGGAGTCTTGTGAGCAAAAATTCTACTTTGTGAGCCACTGGCATTGAAGTTGGGAGCGAGCAATTTGGCAGCTGCATATATCAGTCTGCTCTGGAGCCATCCTTCCTGAGCGAAGACAAAAATGTGTGAGCTGGAGGCTAATAAACTGTGAGCTAGCT